TAATTATGTCACAGCTGCACAGGAGATGGCCCACAGCTATTTTTCTGGAGATTGCAGGCCCAGATAGGGGTGAATCAGGCAGATCAACTCTGTCTTCAGAGAGGGATAAGAAGAAGCCTATTCTCCAGCATGGATGGAGGTGGAGCCTGGCCTGCACAGACTGAAGGAAACATTGGGATGAGAGCACCTTGGCTGTCCCCTTGGCTACTCTGTTTTCAGGGACAGGTCCAAAACACAAGGCAGCTGATTGCAGTGTTCTCCAGACACCAAAGATGGATGTCACACCTCCTACCACATAGAGAAAACGAAGTGGAGAGTAATGCTGAGGTCTTGCTCCAGGATGGTGCTCCAGCATGGTGCTCCAGCCTTGCCCAGCAACCACTGGCATAGGAACCTCCCATGCAGCTCTGGGGAAATCCAGGAGCCAGCTAAGCACAGCTCTGCTCACAGCACTGAACCAACACACTGTAAATCTTTTTTTTGTGGCACCCTTGGCTAGGATGTTCTCCACCCAATGCATTGCTCTGTGCATATCCCTTCTGTAGATAAAGACAGTTCCAAAGCAGCCTTCAGGGCATACTTGGACCTTGTGAGCCCAGCGGTGGGGCTGTGGGTTAAGGGGTCAGCATTGAGCTTAGGAGGCTTAAAAAAAAAACCTTACAAGAGCATATTTAGGCTGAGCTCTCCCTGGGATCTCTTTCCAGCCCCTCTCCCCTCCTCCGTGGGGCTCAGCGCAGCCTTCTGCGAAATCTCCAAGTGACAAAAGGCTCTTTGGACTCAGCATCAGCCACAGCCCATTGCCCAGGCCTGGGACAGAGGACAGGACCATCTGCTCCAGGGCAAATGAGCCCCATGGCCAGATGCTCCACTTCTGTAAAAGCCTTGGAGCCGGTTCATGGGAACAGCTTCACTCTCCCCCCCTCTCCCTCCTCCCGCTCCCATTAACCTCTTTACTGCCACTGATGTGTTCACAACAACATCCAAGGCAGAAGGAGAGGGAGGTGTGCTGGGAGCCGGCCTGACACGTTGGTGTGAAGTTTGCCATCCTCCCTTCCCCGTGCTGTGGCCATGGGTCAGAAGCCCCAGGCTGGCAGGAGGCTGCAGGCTGCACGGGAGCAGAGTGGGGGCACAGCAGGGTACTGGGAGGAGGTGTCAGAATTGGCACCGGTCCTGGGAAGTGGCCCCACAGGGGGTCTGCACCAGCCCGTTCCCACGAGCCAGTCCCAGGGGTCTTTCCCAGGGTTTCCCTTGCACGAGCACCAGCAGCATGGTCCATCAGCTGCAAAATGCCCCAGCAGTGGGGAATAACATTGCAGAGACACCTCCCGTCCTTCTCCCATGCATAGCAGCCTTAGTGTCTGGGTGTCCTCACCTCTCAGCCATGGGACATGGCTTCTTCTCTTCCCACTCCTCTTTCATGAGCATCCTCCAGCCCTGTGGTCCCAGTTACTCAGGAAGCAGTGCCATGGTGTTTGCTTCAGGTCTTTGGCTCTTCTTGGAAATACAAGAGGGGTCTCTAGGGTCGTGGTCCCCATCTATCTGTGCACTGCTCACTCTCAGCTGTCTGCTCCAATCCATACAGCATGCAACAGTCCACATCCAACCACGTGGGATGGGACAGAAACCTAGAACTCCCCATCATGCTGTCAGCTGGGAAGAAGCCATGTAACTTCAGTACTCCCTATTACTTCCAGTGTCAGAAAGGGGATAGCAGTGCCATTTGGCAGGGTGCTCCCACATAGCACCCAGTTCTGGCTGTCTGGAGCACAAGGATGCACCACCTGCATGCCACAGACACCACAGAGCAGCAAGCGCTCATCCAGGCTGCACCCAACTGGTTTTCTGCCCATCTAAACTAATTTCCAATGCCCCAGGCATTGGAAGGGTTAATGCCACCAGCTATACAGGCTGTCCTGCTGGGGGGGAAAAAGGAGGGGGGGGCATGGATCACAGGTGGGACGCGAGCTCCCGAGGCACAGTGGCCTGCTGGAAGAGACCTTGACTATTGAACCCTGAAAAATCTCCCCATCTCAGGCAGATCCTTTCTCGCCCTGGTTCCCACAGGGCTCCACAGCCACGCCGCACCCCCGGAGGGTCACACGCTGCGGCTGCATCTCACCCGGCGCAGTGGGAATCCGATTAGCCACCGGCCCCAGCGCTGGGATTGGGCAAAAACGCGGGCGAGAGAAGGGCCCCGCGCCTTGGGAAGAGCTTTCCCACACTCCGTCCCCCAGCGCTGGCGACGGCGGAGGAAATGGTCCATATCTAAATGTGTCCTGATAGCCGCGCTAATCTAGGGCTGGGTGCGCGGCGTGGGGCGGGAGGGCTGGCAGGGCACACGGCCGCGTTCCTCTGGCACAAAGGGATGCTTTCACCCTCTCGGGCTGCTGGAAAAGCAGAGGGACCAGGGGACAGCACCCGGTGCGTGGGGCCCCGGCGTGGGGATGCACGGTGCAGGCATTCACAGCTCTGAAATCAGGCACTGAAAGGGACAGAAAGTGGTTTCTCGGCAGCCAAAGGGCATTTTGGGGTGGTTGCTGGGCAAACTCCAACTCCAATCCTCGGGGATGCTCCATGGGATGGGAGCTGCTCACTCTGCACCAAAAAAAAAAGGGGGGGAGGGGGGGCAAAAACATTGGCTAAATGTCAAAAAGAGCTCAACTCAACCTGGGACATCCCTTCCACCAACACCATGATGTTCTGTTGCTTTTTGGGGATCTTACTCACCTTCTAACTCTTCTTTCTGCAGCAGTGCAGTTGAAATAAGAAAAAAGAAAAAAGAAAAAAAAAAAACACACAAAGCACAACCTATTTTGAAATGAAGAAGCCATCAATCTTTTGTTTTGAAAATGTTGAAACAAGATGTTTCGACATCTTCAAATGATTTCCTTTGCTCATTTTGGCTGAAGCCCTGCATTTGCATTTGACCTGAATTTGCACATTGTTGGTTCCCCACAAAAGGGCACATTTTTTGGTGAACTCAGCCTCATTTGTCAGCTCTGCAGCCAAGCTTCTGCAAGCAGTTTTCACAATGAGGGAATAAGGAGCTGGTCTGGGTAAAGGTGAAGATCCTCTTAAAGCTTGCCTCTGTGCCACACAGAATCATAAAACTCCTTTTTCCTGTTCCCCCTTTTTCTGCACTGTCTCTTTTTGCCTCCACTCTTGGCTGCATACAGTGAATAAATGTTGTTGCCAACACAGCACTGAAACCGTCAGAGAACACAGAAACCACAAAGCTCAAAGCCAGGATGGGGTGATGTCCCCTTGGAGACCAACCTGGGCTACCCTGTGCAGGACAGTGAAGTCACTGTCCCTGGAGATGTTCCAGAATCATGGAGATGTGGCACCAGGGGACACGGTCAGCGCGCACATTGGGATCAGCTGGGGTTGGATGTGGGCACCTTAGAGGACTTTCCCAACATTAGCAACTCTGTGACTCTAGGATAAGGGAAAATTTCCACCTGGGAAGGAAGTGCCCCAGTGTTCCCCTGCTTCCCAAGCCTGGATATAGGGCCGGATGAGAGGGAGCAGCAGAGCTGCCAGAAAAGAGCATCCCTCGCCTCATCTCTCCTCAGTTCACATTAGCAGCAAAGTCCCCACCCTTGCTCAGAGCTCCACCATGCAGCTCCTCACTGCCTCTGCCACCGGTGGGGCAACTTCCCTCCTCACTGAAGACCATCACACTGGGTGAAAAATCCTAGTGCTGGGAGCTGGAAAAGCAATGGCCTTCCTCATTTGCACCACGGAAAGGGAGGGAAGGCAGCCTTTCTATGGCTGGCAAACCTTCCTCCATCCTTTCTCTTGGCCCTGTTGCAACGTGCCTGTTTTAACTTGTCTGAGTGTCTCACTGGGGAGATGGACTGGAAAACACCAGGCGGATTCAGGCAGCTTGCTCCACAGGGAAAGCTTTCAGCACATAATAGTCTTGGGCTGGTTTGATGCCTAGTGTAAGATGCAGCTGAACAAAAACACGGAGAAAGAGCTTGAATAGGAAAGAGCATCTCGAGAAACAGGCAGCCTTTCTTTCCTCTAATGCAGCAGAAGCTGCCCCAGAGCTGTGCGTGCGGGGATAGGGGCTCCCATTTCGTCTCAGTATGAAGGCTGCCACTGAAAATTAAAGTAAATACATAATTCCTCCAATTCCTGCCCCGTTGCTATGGGGACACAATTTAATTAATCACAATGCCAATGCCCTGCACACCACAAAGCTGCCTGGGAAAATATGATGGGTATCTCTGCATATATATCAATGCCTTGCTTACCTCTTGGTTTTACTCACTTCCAGAATGTGCCAAAAGCCCTGGGAGGACACGTGGCGTAAGCTGGGCCATAGGCACAGCAGCTCTGCTGTGGTCCAGACTGGGAGAGCAGGAGCTACCCGAACTGGATCCCTTGCTATGGCGTGCAGACTGGGTGGAAAAGCCACACACATGAGGAATTTCCAGAGAAGAAAGGGGAGAGTACAGCTTTATTTAGTCTGCCCAGGACTTCCCTTGGAAAACTCATGGAGATCCGACCGGTGCAATCCCAGTAACTTCTACCTCATAGACCATGGTGTGATAGGAGGCAGTGGAGTTGGAGCAGAAGCATCTCCACCTCTCACCCACGTGAGGCACACTCTTCCCACACCCCAAATTTACCCAAATTCCTCATTTTGCAGACGAGCAGCCGAGTCCAGGAGCTGCACGGGGATTGCGGGGAGATCCACGGTGGGGACTTGGCAGCAGCACAGGAAATCCAGCTGTCAAGAAGGCTCCAGCACGCACCCATCCCTGCCCCACGGCAGCTTTTTCTGGTTTGTGTTTCAGACAGCGCTGATCCTGCTGGCCAGCCCTTACCTGCCAGCAGCTGTCAGACACCGCAGCAAAGAGTAGCCCCAAGGCACGAACAGCCCGCCGTGGGGCCGCACCTAGATCCACCTCCATGATGCAACCATGTCTTACTGCACAGCTGCTCACCTCGCTGCCAACAGCCCCTGCGGCCCCGCCGCAGAACGGGGCTCCGAGCTGCCCTCCGAAATGGGAGCTTGGCAGCAGCCCAGCTGTGTGCTCAGTCCCAGCCTTGACAGAGAAATCTCAGCAGAAGTGAGGGGCGAGGAGCTCAGCTCAGCAATAGGAATCCTCTTGGAGAAGGGTTGCGCATCCAGATTTAGCCTTCGTGAGGACATCAATGCATCATCTGGGCCAGCTGCACTGGACAATGTTCTCCTGTACGGTTACAATTTACTTCTCCCCCTGGTTGGAGTTTTGCCTCAATTCACTGCCTGTAAGCACTGCCCCAGGAGAGCTACAAGGAACAACAGAGACCTTGTGCTGTGCCTCAGTCCTCACATACGTCACACACCATGGAGCTTCACCAACGTAGAAAGGTTGTGGTCATCCAGGTGCTCTGCTCCTGGTGGTGTGGACCTGCCTGCTTCTAAGAGCTGCAAATGAAAGGAGAAGCTCAGGTGATAAGGCTTGACTCGGTTAAACAAGGGCAGGATAGATAAGCAAACTCAAAGACCTGATCCCACATCCCCATAGCCATCATGCATGCCAGAGGGAAGTGGTCAACTCAGCTACAGAGCTCAGCTGGGGATGATCACCCTGCTGTTTGCACAGGCACCCTGAGGCGATGTGACAGCAGGTGCCCTGATGACACCCCTTGCTATCACAGATCTTCACTGCGGTGCTTTGAGGCAACACAATCAGCCATGCTGCTGCTCTGTGCTGTGTGCGTGAGCAGCTGCCAGCTAGGAAATAAAAGGATGGCCCCAAGCAGGATCAGATTTTACCACCCAGGTCCTGGTGAGAGCTGGCACAGGATGGCTGTGCTGCTATGCTAGCCTATGGGCTACATCAGTACATGGGAACAGCACAGACACCTCCACAGAAGGACGTGGACATATCCAAAGACACAGAACATAGAAACCCAGGCCTCAAAGAACAAAGTTGGGGGCTGACGAGGAAGAAGAGCCATCTGGCAGCTCCAGGCATCTTGACCCCGTCTGAAGGGACTCACCTCTCCGGCTCATCTGGAGAGTTTATTTTTCCCTTGGTGCTTCCCATTGGAAAATGTAGGCCCTCATTCCCATTCCTGAGCTCCCCGGGGAGCTGGAGGATTCCTTCACTGTTTTTACAGTTTGCGTCGCTTCCCCTCTCCCTGTTTTCCTTTTCCTCTTATCCGTGACACGAAGCTTAACTAAATCCAGGGGAGGGGAGTGAGGAGGAGGAACAAAACCCTGACTGTGACTCACCCTCCTGCATGATGCCCCAGCACAGAGGCAGACTTTCAGGTGCAGTGAGACAGAGAGCTGGGCACTGGCCATAGGGCAGCAGGTCTGGCTGCACAATCCCCATCCCAACTCTTCACTTCTTCCATGGGATTTCCCCTTCTCCTCTTTCCAGTACCTTCACCACCACTTGGGGACAAGGGGGGACAGTGCTCCAGGGAACAGCCCCAACTTGAGGGCCATAAATCACCAGCAGTGGGAACAAAGGCGCCTGTTGGATGAGGAGGGGGCAAGAGGCATTGCTTCTGGCTGCCTGGATTTATGGCACCCTCTGGCTCCTTTAGCAATGGATGTATTCGATAGAGGACTGAAAGCAACAGTCTTAGAGGGGGAGATAAAAGACTAGGGGGAAAAAAGGATCATCTTTTCTTCTTCTCTTTTTTTTTTTTTTTTCTCAAATCAGTGGAGGGTAAGCAGGAACCATGGCAACACCACCTCCTCAGGCTGCTCATGGAGACCCCACACCCACCACCCTTTCCCCATCCTACAGTCCTCAATAAACCCAACGTCAGTGTCCCTGAGCATCGCACACCCGTCACCTGCACTGTCCAGCCCACAACAGGAGAACTTCTTCCTGAGGATGAAATCAGCTACAGCTTTTGCCCTCGGTGCAGAGAAAGAGGAGGAAGCAAGGGAAAGGAGGAGGAGGGCAACCCTGTTAACAAACCCGGACTAAACAAGCTGCTGAGGACTGCAGGAGCAGAGCATGCCCTCATTGATATTGAAATCAGGTGCAATCCATCACCGGCAACAGGGCCCTTTCATGGGCAGCTGAAAAGAACCACTCTCAAAGGGAAAGGGAAAAACTTGTTCAGGGGAAGGGCGAACCAAAGCGTGGCAGGTGTGGTATGGAGAGGGATGCTGTCAACACCAGACCGTGATTCATTGCCGTGCCATCACCGGGGCCGGAGCAAAGTGCGGGCAGCACAGTGTCCCCTGGGCTTGGGGACACACTGGGTGTTGTCAGGATCTGCCACAGAGAGGGAGATGGTTCAAGTCCCAGGGTGGGGAAGTTGGAATGCTCACACCAGAGCTGAGAGAGGAGGGCAGCCATGGTGCAGCAATGGGACATGAACCTCTGGGGGACCTGAGCTCCTTCCACCTGCACATGAGTGAAAACACAACACAAAGTGAAACTACATTTGGCTTCTTCAGTCTCAAAGCAACTTTCCCCTGAGCCCAAGGGTCACCACTGGCTCCAGCAGATCCACATTCAGTGGGGACTATCTTCCCCTGGGTCTGCTTCAAATGATCACCACTGGGAAGAGAGGGCACCACAGACAGGACCTGTCCATGGGCTCCCCCAAAACTGCTTCTGCAGATGCAGCATGGGCTCGAGGCCCCGATGCTCTCACCCCACAGGGTGCTGCCTTTCAGTGTATGTACGCAGGGTCAGCCTGGAGTCATCCTGCCGCAGCCAAAGGCTTTAAGCAGAGTGATGCCAAATCGTCCCAGCGCTCAGCCTTTGGCCTCAGCTCCCCGCACCTGGACACAATCACAGAGCCATCCGAGGAATGGGAAAAAGCCATCAAGCTGCACTTCACCACCAGCTGCTGTTTATTTACCCGGGGTCCTTCCTACCCAGCAAAATCGGAGCGGGGGACAAGCGCTTCCCACTCACTCTGGGGACGATGCGGGATGCGGGGGATGCTCCATCGGCCGGGGGGAGCTGTGAAAGGACCGTGGCAGGTTTGAACTTTCCCAGCACTGTGCAGAGGCCTGAGGGAAGCCTACATCTGTGTGCGGGAGCCGGGCCAGCACCGGTGCCTGCGGGGGCGAGCAGGGAGGAAGCGAGCAGCGGGGCTGCAGCCCCACAGTACCCTGCGGAGGCGGGGGGAGGAGGGGGGAGGTTGCAAAAATTGCATTCTTCATTCTTCTCTGCTTTTATTTTTTTCTTCTTTTTTTTTCTTTTTTTTTTCTTCCCCCAGAAGAAAGCCGTTCAAATTCTGGAGTCAATTAATCGATGGACGGAAAGGCTGGGGACATGCTGGCTGCAGCTATGAAAGCAATTCTGCTCCAATGGGAAAAGCTTTTCTTCCACAAGGCTGTCCCACGTGTTGTGGCACACTCTGCATTGACTACGGATGGGATACCCACAGGGCAGCCCCTTTGCTCCCATATCCAGGACAGGCAATGTGAGCAGGCTGTGTGCTGCCCTGGGGCTCATCCAGCACTGCCAGCTCCTTGCTGAGCAAGCTTTGCCAGGACACACTTTGTGCTTTTTGCCTGCTGTAAACTTTAAATATTTTTTTTGGCAGCGCTGCTACCTACAGTACCCTGTACCACCATGCACTAAAGAGCCTTATGAGACTGAAGTGAGCCTTACTCTCACTTCAGCTTGTTATATGGCCATGATGGCACATGAGACAGCAGCTCACAAGGGAGCCCCCTCCTGCAGTCCAGGGATAAGGGGATTTGTCCCAGGAGCTGAACTCCAGCACCCAGAGCAGGCAGGCATTCCTCGCAGGAAGGAAGAGCATCCTGGGCTCCATCTGTGCCATTGTGCTCAGCTGAATGATGGGAAGGGGGAGCCAGGGGTAGAATTAAATTTGCACCCTGATCCAGGAGATTAGTTTCCCATTATTGTTGTAGGAATAATTGCAAATTGTTGGCTGCATTGTTCCTTCATCTTATAGCCCACTCACTGTATTCTATTCCACAGCCACCTCCTGGTAATTATACTTTGCAGTGTGTTTTCATGGACCTATACCTTCACTGTGACTGTGAGCTCTTTCTCACTGCCACTCTCCCTTCCCACTCCACAATTTGCCTCCCAGAGGGAGATGGACCCACAGAGGCAAGTGTATGACTGGGTCAGATAACCATGCTCACCAAGCAACCAAGACAAGGTACAAAGAGGACAGGGCCTCCTCCACATGATGCTCTCCCAGCAACAAAAAGCAGAGCTATTTGACCAGATGGGTCATTATTGCTTTTTCCCTAAAGCTTGGTTTGCTTCACAGCCTGACATGTGAAATGCTCTGCTTTGACTTCACATTATCTTCGCTGCCCTGTATCCCCGTATCCCCATGTGGATGTCCCATACGTGGAAGCATTCAAGGCCAGGCTGGATGTGGCTCTGGGCAGCCTAATCTGGTGGTTGGCGACCCTGCACATAGCAGGGAGGTTGAAACTAGATGATCTTTGTGATCCTTTTCAACCCAGGCCATTCTATGATTCTATGATACTGCATTATGAAGACTCCAGGAGAAAAATGCTTCGCTCCACAGCCAGCTCCATCCCCAGCCCTGCAGCTGACCCACGCATGCAGCAGAGCTGTGAAGCCCATTTCTCAGGCAGGACAAGCCTGGGGCAGGCACACTCTGGCCCCAGGGACCAACAACATGATCCCGCTGGGAAGCCCAAGCGCCGCTAGGATGAAGGCTGCCAGCCCATCCAGTCCTTGTGCTGCCTTACACAAACAAACACAGGGCCCGGGCTCGCGGGGGCTTTCAGACAGTGACTGGTGGTGGTTTGACAGGTCACCAGGCCCCCGTGGCTGCCATCTGCTGCTGTAACCTGCAGGTCCCCAGGGACAGTGGGAAGGGGGACACTGGTGGGATGGGAGCAGGGGGGTAGGGAGATGGATACAGAGTACTCTGGCAGAATCTGTCTGAAAATAAACCTCATTGGATTTATTTTTAGCCCTGCTGCTGCTGATGGGACTATTTCTAGGCTGGCTGACACTGCGGTCTGGGGCTCAGTGACGAGAACCAGTTATCTTCTGTTTTGTCCCGAGATCATAAAAACTGCTGGGAGAGAGAAGATCCCTTCTGCACGTTGGTCAAAGACCCCATGCCTAGGATGCCTGAGCCCTTTGGTGTAGCAAACAATAAATACAACTAGTAATTCACCAAGAATTTACTGTCTGATATAAGCTATCCAGCTGTGAAGTGGGGAGAAGGAAATCCAGAGGGATGAGGCCAGCTGGGCATGGGCTCAGGGCAGTCTAAGATAACTGACCAGACAATGAGGCTGATGTTCCAAGTCTGTTGCAAACCCACATCCCAGGAGATGCCCAAGGCAAGGTTGGATGGGGCCCAGGGCAGCCTGAGCTGGTGGGAGGCAAACAGCTCACAGCATGAACTTTAAGGTCCCTTCCAAGCTAGGCCATTCTATGATTTTATGAACATCAATTATTAGCAATCTTTGTGGAAAAGAGAGTGAAGGAAGAAGAGATGTTAGGGCCTCACCATGGAGGAGCTGGACAGGCAGATGGAGTGATTGGGTTTGAGTAATGATGGAGAACCCATGAAACTCTATGTGTTCCAAGAGCAACACTGCCCTTCTTGCAGATAACAACCAGCTCCAGAAGTCCCAGCTCTGCTGAGAGGGGCCAGAGCAGAGGGACAGAGCAGCACATGGATCAGGGCACAGTGAGCACAGCCAAGCAACAGCTCTTCAATGTCAGGCTGTGCAATGAAGCAAGTTTTAAGGAAACCGACCAAACTGTTTTTTAATGGCTTTGAGACTTCTCTGTAAGACAGTTTGACAGGACAAACACATGCAGACCCATAAATAAGCCATAATAGCTGAAGCCCCATTGTGTAGGAACTGGCTCGCAGCACCCAGCAGCTACTCTCAGCTAACAATGTGAGGAAAGTCACTCCACACATTTTTTATCCTTTGACACACAGTGCAGCTGCAGGAATACCTCATGCACGGTTTTAATGAAAGGCAATCGTGTTCTCTCAGCTTTGCATGTTTGAGAACAGACTCGTGGAGATAACGGGCCTGGGCTTACAGTGATAAACATGTCAAGATAATTAAAATTATGCCCTTCTTCTAGCAGAAATAGCAAGATCCTCATCTGCTGTACACCGCCACAGTTCTGTGCAGCCACTGGAGCCACTGCTGCTCACCCCACTGAGCCCATAGCATGAAATGGGAGCCAGCAGCCGGGCCCTGTGAGCTCAGTGTGGTCAGAGAGGTCAGTGGTTGGTTGCACGTGCCAAATTCTCATCTTTCCCCATCCAAAATAAATCAGGGATTTTTGCATGTGCACGCAGCCGTTTGGGAGGCAGTCTGAAGGCAGGCGCTCTGCTTGTGCCAAAGAGGAGCAGCTTTCAGGGTGACAGGCGAAGCAGCAGAGGCTGCCTGCTAAGGGAAGAGCCCAAACAGAGTTTTAAAAGTGGGAATGACGCCGAGTTTGGCAGAGAGGCCACTACAGGCAGTGAGAACCTCAGGGTCACACGTATGCTGGGGACAGCTTTTGTAGGGATGAGCAGCCAAAGGCTGTGGGACTGCCAGGGCTGGGAGAAGTGCTGGCAAAGGGCACCGGGGGAGGGAGGCTGGAGGCTCTGGCTGCAGGAGGGGCGAGCAGGAGTGGGAGTGTGCACGGGTCGGTGTCGGGGCTTGTCAGCACAGAGGAGCTGCACGGAGCTGCTATTGTGCAGTAAAATATGCTGGAATGCGGACACGCCTATTCCAGAATAAAGCTGCTTTTTCCTAATTTAACTTAATCCACTATTTGTTTTTATTATTTTTATCATCATCAGATTCAGCTAATTTGGAAAAGCTGTTCCAATTAATTTCCCTGCATAGACATGCAGCTACATGCTGGAAAGCCTTTGTTTGTTCGGTGGCAGCCTGACCAGCAGACTCTATTCACTTCCAAACCAGCTCCTTTCTTCTTTCCTACGACCATTTTTTCTACTTTACCTCATCAGATCACAAGAGGAACAGGAGTGGGATTTTTTTCTGGGAG